CAAGTTATGGTTATAGTGGATAAGTTTAGTAAGTTTCTTGTGTTTGTTCCACTTCCTGCAAAAGCGAAAGCTGATGTGGTGATTAGGGAATTTTGTAATCATTGGGTGAAAGATTATGGGCATCCCTTAACTATCGTAAGTGATAGGGATACGCGGTTCACGGGTGATCAGTGGCAGCAACTGATGAAGGTGTATGGGTCTTCAGGTAGACATCCTGAGATAAATGGACAGACCGAGCAGATGAACAAGCTACTGCAGCAAGTGTTGCTCATGTGCATCCGACCTGATCAAATTGACTGGGACGAACATCTGCCAAAAGTTGCAAGTGCCTATAACAATTTTGTGCATCTAGCTACATCTAGAACACCGACTGAACTGCATTTTGGATGGCGCCCACGTAGACCCATTGACTGTCTAAACCCTGATCAAGTACAGAGACTTCCACCAGGAACCGGGAAATTTGTTGTTCAATATCAGAAAGATTTGGAAAAAGGTTAAGGAAAATATTAGTAAAGCACAACATCAGATGATCGAACAAGTTAATAAGCATTGCAGACCTTCACAATTTGTTGTAGGAGATTTGGTGTGGGTGAAGTCAAAAGAGTTTCTTCCTGAGGAGAACATTTTCCATAAGTTGTTACCTGCCTATAGAGGTCCGTGGCAGATTCTGGATGTAATCGGTGATGTGGATGGTCCCTCGTATGTTGTCGAAATTCCTGCTCACTTACACATATATTTGTTGTTTCATGCTTCAAGGCTAGCGGTCTCAAGACACTTACAATTGTATGTGTGCATCAACATTGGTCAATGGTGGAAGCCTACAAGTAAGACCCCGTCACGATGGACATCATGCGCAAGCTTGAGGCCCAAGACAAGGCGACATCAGATGAGTTTGTGTGTAGGGTGTAAAAGATTAGTTGTTCCATCTAGTGAGATTTTGCATAGTTTGTTTCTGGTGGCCTGATATGCTTGACAATGCGAAGAAATACGTCCAGACTTGTTATGTCTGTCAGCGGGACAAGCCACGAACTCAAGCCTCGCTTGGGTTACTTAAGCCCTTGCCCATTCCTGTAGGGCGAGAGTATTTCCATGGATTTCATGGATACACTCGTGACCAACAAGAGTGGCAAGAGGCACATATTCGTCATAGTAGACCGATTCACTAAGTATGCTAGACTAATGGCCATGCCGGAGACTGCAAGGACTGAACACATTATCAAGTTATTCATGGATAACTTGGTACGTGATTTTGCACTGCCTAAGACTATCATTAGTGACAGAAATATCCGTTTCACGAGTAAGATATGGAAGAAGGCTGCAGAAGAGACGGGCAGCCAACTCCAAATGACTTCGGGAAATCATGCCGAAGCAAACGGTCAAGCAGAACAGATGAACCATGTGGTGCAGCATCTGCTGAGGCACTATATTAAGCCCAGCCAGGATGAGTGGGATGAGAAACTACCTCTCATCGCCAATCTTACAATAACGTTGTACATAGCACCACGGGCATCAGTCCTAACCAGCTGCATTTTGGGCGGACGCCTAGATCTGCTCTAGACTTCCTCCTTCCTAAAAACCGACCCGCTGCAATGCCTGGAAACATAGAGTTTGGTGTCCAGTATGAGAAGTTGTTGCAGCAGGCTGACGAGCATATTAGAAAGTCTCAGAAGGCAATGATTGCCTCAGAGAACAAGCATCGGCGACAGTCCACATTTCAGGTAGGGGAACGAGTCTGGGTTAAGGCTAGTGAACTGGGACAGGAATTCGGAATCTCGCGAAAACTAATGCCACAGTACTTCGGTCCTTGGGAAGTCCTGGATGTGGTGGGTAATGATTTGGATGGACCCTCTTATGTCATTAGAATCCCTGGACATCTGCGCACTTAACCCGTGTTTCACGCCCCAAAGCTTGCACCTTTCGCTGAGACAGATATGTTCCCAACAAGAAGGTCAATGCTGCCCCCAACCATGGATGGCCACGTGGACGCCGACGGCACCTGGAACACAGAGATCTGCCTGTTCCCAAGCCTGCTGGCAGGGGAAGACCACCCAAACCTATGAGGCAATACCGGGTAAGGTTCAGGCATCATACGGATCCCAAGGAAGGTTGTTGGTTCACAAAGAAGGAGCTTGTTAAGACAGCACCTGCGTGGAAGCATCTCAGCGGACTTTCGAAGGTAATGGGGATGGAATGGGAGGAATGAGCCCTCGCCGGGCCCTTGTCAGCCATGCACATGATCTGGGCTGAGGCCCCCAGCAAGCCCTGTGCCCGCCCTAAGTGAAGGCGGGCCTGAATATCCACGTGAAGCTTAAGTTCGACATTTTTCCCTATGTGGGTACTCAGACAGTTGCAGCACGGCGCACGCCAGTTGGTTATGGAGAATCATGAGCCCTCAGGCTCTTTCCAGAAACATGGGCTGCACTGTACAGTTGAGCCCAGGGCCCGGGTGGTTGCGCCCTGGGCACACGCGGTGTGAGGCCAACACATCACTCAGCGGCCACGGACGAATGAGAAAGCAGCATTATCATCACACCTTGGCCGTGAGCCAATGAGGAAGCACCGAACACTTGGAGGCTGCATGGCTGCCTGAGAGTGCCTGCCCGCACAAGGCCCAGGCCCCTAGCTGTAGAGGTGGGCCTGGGCGCAGACACTGGGGCCTGACTGGAAGCTACTGGAAACTTCCTAGCCAGGCCCATGCAGACACACACGAGCTGCACTTTCCATAAAGGAAAGAGGCCAGCCCAGAGGGAGGCATTCTGTCCTAGGCAGGCAATGCGGACACGCTGCTGCGTTGCTGCGCTAGTGTCTGCATGGGCGCTGCTGGTCGCACTCGTGCACGGGCGCCGTGGTGAGAGGGGCGCTGCTGAGGCAGTGGGCGCACAGCAGCCATAGCTGGGCAGCTGGGGTGCAGGGCAGGTGATGGCAAAGGTGGTTTTCGAGTAGGAGGCGTATGCTGTGGGAAGACGAGGGGTGATGAGGAGAGGAGAGAGAACTTACCTGGTGCATGCTGGTGGTCGACATTGGTGTTGACGTCATGTACATTGGTCTTGGACTTCAGAGTGAACCAGTTGCAAGAACGTAGGTAGGCTAGATAGGTTGAGCAGGATAGGCTGGGCGCTGGGCACCAGACTTTAAGTGTGACATTGGATACATTGTTGGTGTGACCAGAGAGTGGCGACATTGACACCTGAGTTCATTGTTATTGCTCTTATTTGGACGGTATCTTGGTGCATTGCACTCTCTGCTTGGTTCATGACTACCTGAGCTTATTCGTGATTTTGCAACTTGGATTTCTGTCTATCGCTCTCGCTCATATTCCTTGCACCAGCATATGTGGCCCCCTTTCAAAATTTGCCAGCCCTCTATGATATGCTCCTGGAATTCTCCACTTAGTAATATGGAATTGTTCAGTTTGTGAAAGCTCCACCCCTTCCTTATGTATTTATCAAAGTTGATGATTAGTTCTATTGTCTTGTGATGAAGGACTGGGTAGGGGGCTATGGCCAAAATCTCCGCTTCCTTGACTGTCCCCTTGAGATTGTGACGGTTTACCCCTCAGCATAAGGCCCTGCAGCAGGCGCGTGCCCGCCCTAAGTGAAGGCGGTCCCCCTGAATATCAATGTGCCCTGGTCTCGTCAAATTTTGCAAATCGTGGTGGGCGCCAGACAATTCCCACGCGCCAGCTGGTTATATCCGCTTCCCTTGTGAGAATTGGAAATATGCGTGAGCCTTTCAGGGTCTTTCGGCAAGCTGGTAGAACAGGGAGCCCCGCATGGTTGTGCCTGGGCGGTTGGACGTGCCTAACCAGTTCGGTCCCAGGCGACTCTCTGAACGGGCCTGGGGCGCAGACACTTTGGCCGAGACTGAAGCTACTGGAAACTTGGCCTCACAGGGCAAGCGGGAGCAACGACCGCCACCCTTCCATATAGGAAAGGGCTGGGCTACAGCGAGGGCATTCGGGCACTGGCATGTGCAAGCGGCAGCGCTGCTGGAGCGTGCGCTCGTGGGCTGCTTGCTGTGCGCTAGCGGATGCTGGGCGCGTGCGGGCGTCGAGGAAGAAGAAGCTTGCTGCTGAGGGCGGTGCGATAGCCAGCACCCATAGCTGGGATTGGCTTGGACAAAGTCAGTGGAGGTTGTGGCAGTCTTCGTGTATGTGGGAGAAGGCCGGGGTGATGAAGTCAAGGGTGAAGGAGGTTGATGATGTGAGGGCACGTACCTGGTCTTGGCGATGGTCAACAAGGTCGGCATCTTCATGTAAGGTCGACATGTTCATGTACTTCGGTTGTTTCTGCCGACGTCAACAGGATGCATTATCAATTCATAGGCTGCTAGTAAGCTGCGATCGTAGTCTGGGCGGTGAGCGCCAAGTAGGAGGAAGGACTCTGGATACATATGTTGGTGGTGGCGAGAGTATGCTCTCATTGACATTCGGATTCAGTGCTTTGGTTCTCCGTTGCTGGAATATCAGTGCAGTACTGCTTTCTGGACAGCGTTGGACTTGCTGGCTTTCAATGTGATTTTGTACTCTGGATTTCTGTCGTTTCGCTATCGCTCATTTTCCTTGCAAGATGTTCAGAAAGAAGACAATAGTCCATACCCTGGCACACAGGAGAAAGCTGTATGGTGGGCATGATTTTTCTTGACTAGAGAGTACCCTTTAGTTGTTGGGTGTAGGGTGTGAAATGGGTTGACCAGATTGTAGTCTATGATCAAGTTCTGGACAGGTGATGCTGCTCTGGAGATGCAGTCCATGACCAATTCCAAGGTAGCATTCCAGTCCCCGGCAAGAATACATGTTGCTAGGGGTGGGATAAGATGCCCTGCTAGGGGTGGGATAAGATGCCCTAGTGAATGGATTAAAGTGGACCTGCTGTTGCGGTTATTAGGAGCATAGATGTTGATTAGTCTAAACTCACCCCGAGCTCTGCAGAGTATCTGGTACTGTTGATGCTTATGTTCGTTTGCTGTGCTCCTGATTTGGATTTATTACTATTGCGCAGGGGTATGGCTGTCCAGGCATGTCAATTGTTGGTGCTGCCATGGTGATAATTGAAATTGCGCGTGTGGACGCAAGCTTATCAACCTTCATTCTTGTTCAGAGTAGCCTAGCCATGTCAACAATCGGTGAGTGTACACTACATATGTACATACTCGAATGTCGATAATATGGCCTGGTGTTGACCCGGCATGCTGCAAACTGAATGGGGAATAGTAACGAAAAGCTGGCCTCATTGGAGGTTAAAACGATGTCAAGTGAGAAACTTATTAGGACAAGCGGGCCCGTTGAAGGTTTGCATCGAACAAAGGGGAAATAACAGTTGCACACAAGACAGACACAGAGAGAGAGAGAGAGAGAGAGAGAGAGAGAGAGAGAGAGAGAGAGAGAGAGAGAGAGAGAGAGAGAGAGAGAGAGAGAGGTTTCCTACGTTTGCATGCAACAGAGAAGTTGTTCTGATTTATAAATGATGTTTGCACTCATGAGTGAGTGTTTGTGTGTGTTTGGTCCGTGATTCATGAACACAAAATCCACTTCCAACCACAGAAAGGTTATCGCGAAGTGCAAGGCTCCCCATGCTTGCATGCTTAAGTGGAAAGTGTTGGCAAACCTGTAATCTTGATGCATACTGGCACTGCAAGAGACGAATTGACAAACACTTGCCTCGCACACGAACAGCCACCAAAGAGTGAACCAAAGAGATCCCGCAGCATATGACATGACAACTTGTCAGTCTAAAATTCCATCAATGAGCGCAGGGAAGAAATACAGAACTACAACGGGACAGGGTTAGGGATCATCCATGTGGCAGTAGGATAGGCGCAAACACATTTCATCAGCAAATAGATCATTAAATCAGATTAATCCAGAGAATATGTCTCTGTGGTTGGACAGCATGTGTATCCCATACCAGTGAAGTCATCTTTGCATGAATGGAAAGAAAGTATGAAACATTTGAGAATCCATGGGGACTGTTACGGACCCAGCCAGGGCTCGATCCCTGGTCCGCGGGTTACCACCCACCAGGCTGCTATTTCATTTTTTTTGTGTCTCTGTTCTCCGGTGCCTGACTGTTGGCGCCCTCTGCATCTGGCGCCCGTTCTCAAATCCCGCCTCTGGCACTTTCGGATTTCGATACTTGGCGCCATCCGACATTCTGGCACCCAGGCTCAGACCTTCAATTTTCAGTTTAGCCCCAGCCAAAATGCACTTCTGCCCTCCGAACTCAACTTGAGTCTGGTACTTAAGACTGGACTCAAGCTGAGTTCGGGGGATTCAGTTTTCCGCCTCAGTACTCGTGCTTCAGTGTGACTTGCTGCGACATTGTGTTCGGAATCCAAGATTGCGACTTTGAGACTTTGCGACTTCGCCACTTTGTGTCTGTGTCCGTCGAGTCGTGTCAAGTCCGTGTCGAGTTGAGTGAGTGTGTGTGTGTGCCCTCACTCCCTCCCTCTCTCTTCCCCGACCTCGCTGCTCTGCCCCAGCCCCGTCACACTGGTATCGGAGCGGCTTAGGCCCTCCCTCCAGCCCCGATTCATCGTCGCCATCGTTGCCACGTCAGCATGGCCTCCGTCACCGCCATGTCATCATCATCGCCGTCGACCCCGTCGCCATCATTGCCACGTCATCGTCATCGATTGCCTCATCCTCGCTGCCGCGTCATCGTCACCGCCGCCGCTGCCATCACTGACGCGCAGGCAAGTTACCAGAAAACGTTTTTTCCTTTCTTTCTCTTCTTTCTTCTTCCTCGTTCCTTCTCCTTCTCGTTCTTCTTCTTCCTCCGTGTCGACGTCCTCGTTTCCCTTTCTTCCTCCTCTCTGTCATCTCTTCTTTCTCCTTATCATCGTCATCGCCCTCGTCCTTTCCTTCCCTTCCCCCTCGTTCTTCTCCGTTCCCGACTCCCGACCCCCGTGTGACTCCCCGCGTGATTTCCCGCGCGTCCCAGCACGGTCCTTGCTACCTTCCCCCCCCCCCGCCCTTCTACTTCCCCGCGCCCCCGTTTCCCCTGCTCCCCCTCCGCGCGTTGCC